TCAGGCATTTTATTCTCTTTGTAAGTGGAAAGATGATGTAGATTTGCATGTACTGTTTTGTTTGGGGTTGGCTAAATGATCAATAGGAACATTTGCACAGCTGCAAAATTGTAGAGGTGGCTTCAGACTGTGAAGTTGTTGATAAAGCAATAGATGAAATTAACAAATTAAAGATGCAATAGGGAAACTAATAAAGATAAAATTTATAAAATAAAATAACTTTAAAAGTAATAAAATATAAACAAAGATGTATAATGAAACTGACTGAAAAAAGAAACAATAAACTAAAATGTTTTTTTCAACTTTTGTTAAGATAGAATTGGAAGTAACATTAAGTCTATTAGCTTCTGAAAAGAGATAAGGAAAGTTAACAGTAAATTGTTAAGTTGTCGATTACCAACATTTTAGATGGCTATGTCAAAATTTACAATGTGTTAGCCTCCAAATTCTATTATTGCTTTATATGTATGTGGCAATTATTATTTTTAAACATTGAACAAACTTTATTGAGTGAGGAGAAATTTTCTTTTCAAATTCAATGGTGATATTGCCATGCAGAGAAAATAACCTACTAGGCTCTGTGAAATTGTTATCTCTAGATTCTCACTGGTATAAACATGGCACACCTGCAGTCAAACACTTGTATGTATGAGTTTCTTTTCAGACAATGAGATGTTTTATTTGGAGAAAGGATTTATATTCTGTTTATATATTGTTGGTTTACCTCTGCTAAACAAGCAGGAAACAATGGAAGAGTACTGGGATAGGAATGAAGGAAAACTGAAAGAATATGGGAAGAAACAAAGGTTGTAAGGTGAATCAAAAATCCTGAGGAATATGCTCTTCATGAACATCAGCGTTATGGAATGATGTTAGTTTATATTGTGTGGTTGCAATCTTGCTTACTTGAGGAAATGTAAAGAAATTTAATTCACCAGGCCCCGGGAATCCCAACTTCCACATCTACCCTTTAAGTAGTCCAGCACTCATTAATCCCTCTTGTGCTCTCAAATTGTTGCAAGACTGAATGAACACATCATGAGGACATGAGTGTTTTAGCTGCAAGGGCACTTTCCCTGGATAGATTTAAGGAAAATCCTGTACATACCCTGTTTGCTAGAGCATCAGGGATGGTGTAATGTTATCCACTGAGATGAAATTCGGGAAATAAACAATCTGGCCGATCCATAACCTACGTGCATTGGTGAGACTACCTTTTCAAAGTGTAAATTGTTAAAGGGTAAGAGTGTAAGAAAATACAAATGAAATTTGAAAAAAAAAGATTTTGAAAAACGTTAAACAAATCAATAAAAGGGTGAAAATAATTAAGTTGGTGCATATATCGGGAAGATGCCCAGCCGTAAATGTTACTTTGTCCGCGGTCCTCTCCCTTGAGTTGCATATATGACCACAGCATCGACAGGTTCCCTACATGTTGATACATCCAAAGAGCAAAATCATTCCAGTCAGCGAATAGTTTTGAACAATGAATCCATCCCGAATATTAAACCATCTTTGGTGCAGCATTAATGTAATGTAGTAAGCACAGGGTGGAGAACAAGTACATCGGTTGACAATATAATAGACAATCCCTACAACTCACACTAACTCCACATATACCAGCCTAAATTGATGCCTGACTATGTAGGTACAGTATGAGTACAAATAACAACATATAGAATTAGGGTATGCCACTACTGGAGCTTATGTCTATAAAAAGGTCTACATTTCTGGACGTCAATCACGGATGTAGTCTACAGAGGTCAACATTCACAAGCCCGATTGAGTATCGATACCATTTGAAGAACCGTATGCTATACAGTTGGACGTCCATATAGGTAAAACCCACAATAATTTAACGCTAATTTACAAAACATCGTCGATACCCCTTCAGAAAAGTTGAAATGCTCCCTGCGATGTATCCGGGCATAAAGCGCTATTCTTCATAATCATTTTACAGAGTGGTATAAGCATTAAGCGAGCCAGAGGGGTCAGGGAAAATCGGACTGCACAAGGTTATTCCGAACGATTTACTCCCCGAGATGCGTACCATATGGTTAACATCTCTAGAATACTACAGATGTGGCAGACTGAATGGACACCAACCATGCTTAGTATATGAATTAATCTTTCCAGAAAACCTTTACAACATTCGCGGCTGAAACAAAACTCAATTACTTTGCAACCGTAAGTACCATGGAGACCAGAACAATGGAAATGAAATATCGCGAAAACCCATTTGTCCGATTTTAAAATAGTTTTCACTGGAATTTTAAGATTTTGAAATAAAAATGCAGTTATTTTAGGAGGAAAAACCCTCCATGTAGTATGATATAATTTGCGAAACCATCCATCAGATGTTTGGTTGATCTAAATGCTATAAAACCAAATACACTGAATTGGTCTAGCTTCATTTCGAATTGAAAAAAAATCATTTAAATATAGAATTAAAGGCATCATTGAAAAAGAGTCTCATCATGTAACGATGAAATGAGTTGAAAATGCGGTTATTAAATCAGGCATGTGCTTTTTTGAGAAAAGATTTTGAGTCGAAACGTCCGTAAAGTATTCAGAAATGATAGTTGGATTAACTTTGCAATAAAGTTTAACATTTAGCTTGCATGCCGGATTTGGTTGTTATTATCTCGTTATTTGTTGCCGCTCCGTGTTTGTGCTTTGCATTTCAAAACAACAACAAAATAAAATCAGCAGCCAGATAGGTCCAACAGGCTGAATTTAGAACCGCTAAATCTCCACACAGTTATCCGAAACGTACAGGGACGGTCACAATTTGATGGAATTCGGATTGAACCGTCGGCACATTCCTTGCGTTCAGGGACGGAGATCGCAAAGCCAGAAACGGTGTTAGGAATTTGCTCGGAAGGGGTTCAGGAAAAGTGCAGGCAATTCAAACGAACTGGGTTACTTTCTGCTATTCGAAGCTATTCGTTAGGTGGGGGATACATCCCAACGATTTTCGGTTTCCACCTTGTTAACAAGGAGGGAATTTAGTTTATTTTGTGTACAATGGGCTAGTATTTACATAGCTGGGAAGATCTGCGGGGTTCGCCAGAAGATTCATGACTCACGATTTTAACAGTTGTCCAGGTATTTGATGTGATAAACACGTCGTGGATTGGCTTCAACCAGTTCTAGAATCGCATCCAAAGTAATAACTTTAATAAAAAGCGTTCCTTGTATAATTTGAATGAAACCTAAATGTGACAATATTATCATTAGATTCTAAGAATTCTGACTTTTTGTTCTTTTCAATCATTTCAATCATGACGCCTACACGCATGAAATATTTATAATATTCCTAACTTTGTACTATTTCATCTGCATCGAATCGCGCTCAAATAATACTGCCATTGTATGTGCATTATTTCCTCCTTGGCGCTTCCCGATTTTTTTTGTAACCAGGGGATGGCGTTCCAGGCTCTTCATTTGCACAAATCCATCTCTGAGTAGAACGGAGAGTTGAGAGAAATCCGCCACTCTTCAGCACGGCCTCTGATGGTCCCTGTAATAAATTAAGCGTCATTTATAAATAAATTTATACCTCTGCATTTCAGTCCTTGATCAAGGACAGGCAAGGTTTCAGAAAGATTTCAGTTAAATTGCAGATTAATGTTACGTTCTAGAAGTGTTAATTGGACTACTGAACCGATTCGCAAGCATTTTTCAAGAAAAGAAAAATCGCCCCATCGGGTTCGTAATTAATGTTATTATTGTAAGGCTATCAAGGAAAAAAATCTCTCGCAGTTTGGTGTGCTCGATTGTTTCGGGAAGAGTTATATGTCAATTCCAGTAATCAGCAGAGTCACAATGTATCAGAGGACGGGTCTTGAAAGGAGACTGAAGGTTTAGAGGACTCTATCCTACTCCGCTATGGTGGAGTTAAGGCTGATCACACCCAGGCAATCATATCAAAGAGGATCCACTCCGTTCGCCAAAGAGCTCAAATATTGGCACCACAAAGGTGCACAACAAATCGTGAATAAGAAACGACATAGATTACAAGTTACAAACTTTACCCTCTATATCTTAACCCCTACCAACTTAACTTTATTTTGCTAGTTTATTCGGACTAAACAATAAATAAACGCTTCTGGCCGTGGTGACTGAACGAGAAAGAGAGACACACACAGAGAAAAAAATGACACGTGCAGACCGGCACTTCGCAGCTTGTCCTCGTTTTGCTTTGAAATGGTCAGTGGAGTAAGATAACAGTAGGTTTGGCACTCCACAGATTGACACTTTCTACTTCCTGACAGGATTGTCCTCTTGCTGAACTTTCACCTCCCGAACCCAACTGCCTTCATTGGCCAGAGAGCACCGAGCGAGCCGAGCCGAGGTGGGGGGAAGAGAAGCGCAGCGCTGCGCCTCCCGGAGTCGGCTTGAGCTGCTTGGCCCAGCAGCTGTCTGCTACAGAGAGAGAGGAGCGCTCTCTCTCTCACACACACACTTTCAACATTTCCTCAATCACTTTCATTGCTTCTTCAGAGCCCAGAAATGAGAGAGAGACGGTGAGTTTTTTTTGGTGATTAGGCAGAGGATTGAAGGGGGTGGTGTAGTGACTGCTTTATTTGTGGTGCTCACGCCAAAGTTGGTGTAGCCGCCCTGTGCTGCAAGCAGAGATCCTGAAGCAAGCAGCAGCTTCCCCCCCCCTCACTGAAAAGCTCTGATACATGTTGTTTACACAGCAGGTGGATATGACGTCAGGGGCCAGCTTACAGCAAAAAATAACAACATCCAACTCCGCGATTTGTATCTTCCAACCCCCCCCTCCACATACACACAAACCACTACTCCAACAAAAAAAAACTCATTAAGTTCGCTAGAATTGTGAATAATGAAAAGTGGAAGGGGAAAGCGCTGCGGGAGCATAGGGAAAGATCTGATCAAGTGTTGAGCTCGGTCCCGGCTTTCTAGTTGTTGCTGAAGGGATTTTTGTGTCTTTGGAAAGCGGCTGCTCCACAACGTAGTGCCCGAGCGGAGTAATATATTGTTATTTATTGTGTGCTTGTTGCATGCTTTCTCGTACACAATCGCATGTGTGTTGCAGGGTCAAATTATCTCCTGGTTGCCCAACAACCTAAAGGAGCACCAACTGGTAAGTTTGAATTTCATTCTTCTGTCTGTCTCTCTCTCTCCCCCCCTTGCCCTTCTCGCTTTCAGGTTTAACTCTTTCGGCTTGGCTTGGCTCTAATTTCCTGCAAAGCCCCACGTGCAGTTTGGGGTGTTTTACAGAGAGGAAAAAAATGTTTGTCGTTTGTCAAAGTGGGTTTCAATAAATAATTTGCATTGGCAACGCAGACACACACAGACACAACTGCTGCTGGGGTGGTTGTTGTGGGGGGGGGGGAGGAGGAGGAGAAGGATGTGGGGTGTAAGTTGAGGTGTAGGAGTCCCCGGGGCTTGTTTTTGCGTGAGGTTATTCACCAAGAGTGAGTCAGTTTGAGGGAGTTGAGTTGCGCGAGGTTTCTCTTTCTCCTCCTGCAATTTCGCTGTTGTTTCCCGTGGAGTAAATCGGCGGAGACTTGACAGGCTGGAGGAGACCGAAAGGGATCTCTCCTCTAGGATCACACCATTCGTGTAGGGGGAAATAGCCACATAGTGTGCGAACGGCACGGGGGAAAAGGGAACTCCTGAAACTTGTCACTTTTATTTTTTGTCACCGTCCTGTACTTTTCAGAAAGACCCATGCGAGTTTGGACGGGTTAGGGTTAGCATGTCAGCATCGAATTACCTAGGAAGTCATCGAAGTTACGGGGGTGGGTGGGGGGAGGTGGAGGAGGTAATTGAGGCTCCGCGGTATCATTTAGTCATCGTTTAAGTAATCTGTACGGCATTCTACGGAGTTTTCTCTATTAGATATGTCTCGGGTTGGGGGGGGGGGGGGGTGGGGGGGGGGGGGGGGTGGGGGGTAGTACGGTAACTTAGTGCGAAGTCTGGCCTCTGATCGCCAGCTTTTCCAGTGCGGCCCCGAACACACTTCATCGCCACTTTCTCCAGTTGGCGGGCCGCTGGAAGCTCCAACACTGGGAAGTAAAGAAACCCACAGCTCAAGGTGCTGCCGATTTTTGACGTCCTTTAAAAGTTCGATCGAACAAGAAACGCGCTGCTGCTAAGCCCGGGCAAGTTGTGATTCACACGGCCTCCAGTGTGAGAGAGAGCAAGTCTCCACCACCTACCTAATCTCTGTAACCGAAACAAGTAGCAGGCTCTTTTTTGTGTGTGTGTTACAGAGACACACAACGCGCAACCTCCTCCTCTCTTCCCCCCCCCCCCCCATCCCCACCCCCACCTCTCACTGGGAGGTGACATTTCCCCACGGGAACAGGAAAGTCCACTCCTCACTGTCCCTGGTACTAGGGGAGGATGAGGTGAGGTGTCCAACGCTGGTACTTTTTGTGGTAGTGGTGGGGGTGAGGTGACTCAGAAAGGGGTCGGAGGGGTGAAAGAAGTGGGGTGTTTTCTAGATGAACCCGAAATTTCCCAGTACCAGACAAATTGTTTACAGAGATGGAGAGTTGCGCCCACCACCACCAGCCCCCCCCCCACACTTCCAGCTGCATCTGGCGCCTCCGCGACTTTGTTGTTAACTTGGTGTTTGTTTAACTTTTTCTTGTTGATGAAAGGACGGAGCTGCGGCTGTACGAGTAGCCGCCGAGTCTTTTGTTATGGTAATGCCGGTGTTTAGTCAGATCTTTTCCTGCGAAAACTTTCCTGTCAGAACTGCTCGCGCGCGACAGGCGCTCTCGATCCCCTCTCAAACACAAACACACACACACAGAATGGAACAGGTCTCACGTTTCTTTTCCCTCGAAAAAAAGCGGATCTTCAATAACACACACAAAAAAAACAATTTTTGCATTGGGTCGCATATTTATTCGGCAGCTGCTCCCTGACTCAGTTTTTAGCCTGCTCCCCTGAAAGTTTGCTCGCTTGACTTCGCCGAGTTTTGGCGGCTGCTGGGCGGACAATGAGTTTTTTGTGTCTGGTGGGGACGGGTGGGGGGTCGTGCGGGCTGTGTTTAAAGAGGACAGCGTCGGTAAAAGCAAGGTACTGCTTTTTATTAAAGACAGGTTCATGACAAAAAATGTGTGGAAAAGGCAAAGTCAACCAAGGTCCTTCCACACACATACACTCTACCCCCCACTCCCCCGTCAGATTTAGGACCTGTTTTTGCAGCACCTCTTGTAATTTAGTTCACTTCTCATGTCCTCCAAGGTTGTAGGGATTGTAAAGTTGTGTTGGCGGTAGGGTGGGAGTGTTGATGTTTAATGTTAAGTCACCAAAGAAGAAGACAAAAATCCACAAAAGTGGAATTCAACCACCCCCCCCCCCCACCCACACACACACACACACTCTTCATCTTGGATTACCCAATGTCTGAGAAAATCGCACTAAAGCAAACAGCCCGGCGAGAAGCGATCCTTGACAACCCAAGAGCAAAGTCAAACGGCGCGCACATCAAACAAAGTCCGTGCTGGGCCGTTGTCAAGGGTCCGCTCTTCGGGAGGCTTTCAACCGTGAGCACAGGCGTTGCTGTCTCGTCGGCTCTGCACAACAAACGCCCGCGCATACAATTGGAAAACCAGAAAGAGGGAGACGATGTGAGTGAAAGCGACCACTTGCTTCACATCAGGCCCAAAACCTCCACTGGTCCAGAAGAACTCCAGAAAGTTTGTGTTAAGACAAGATTCAACCTTGAAACACCTCAGCATTTGAGTCATCAGAATCACGTCTGCCTAGGTCCATTCTTAACAAGTTGGGGCATAAGGGAAGATTATTTAGACCGAGATTTCGTCTAAGCGTGTCTGTTTAGGCGCATATATGACTTGTATGCAATGAACAGTTTTTTTAAAAAAAATCTGCATTATTATTTAGTGATAAAATCATATTTATTACCGACATTGTAGTTCGTTTGGTTAAGGAGCGATGATCCAGGCACTGACGATAGATTTTCGTTGGATCATGCTGTGGAAGTGCAATTTTGTTATCAGTTGTCAGATAATGGATGGAATAAGATCAAGCAATACTTTACTGGTACAAAATTTAGCATTGCAAAAAATGACTGGTGCAACACCTGAATTATTTATCTCCAGACTTAACATGCATTGATAGCTAGCCCTAGTGTGAACAGATTGGGACTTGGTTAAAATTTAGATATAGTAGGGACTTGGCAGAACTTTTATTAAAATGACAGAACAGGGTTCAATTAGTGTTTATCTACAAGTTAGTTATAAAGAGACTGAGTTAAGCTTAACACCGGTTAAGCTTCAATCTCCTGTCAATACTGTACACAGTGTGATTAAGAAATGTAAAACTAAGTATCAATATTTGCTGATATACTAATTTTTGTACTTCATACAAATGATCCCACTTCCATCGGAGAAACTGCAACAAGGCAGTGTATTTTAATACACATAATGTCTATATATTTTAGTGAAACCTACAGAAGTATGTTATGGTTGTAATTTACTTAAATATATGCAATTCACTGAATGATGTTTTTACATTGACACCATTTGTAATCACATGAAATGTAAACAATTTCAAAAGCTAACCTAATTTCCTATCTATAGTCATTACATCCATGTATCTCTATATCAGTTTTTATATGACAAGATTACACAGAAACACATTTTTATTTATAGCTATTAGTACATGTTCAATTATAAAAATAGATAATTTATAAGAATAGATGAAAGTAACAAAAAAAGTTGACAGATATTAAAAAGTGCCAGTTGAACAAAATAGAATAATTAAGTACACACTAACGTTAAGAGAAATGTAATAATACTTGAAGTTTTTTTGAAAAAGGTTATTTAGCTATAATGTTGACAAAGAAAAGAATGCTGTGTTTTTGTTAGGCAACATTGATGAGTGTATATTGAACCTGTCAATCAGCAGTAGAGTCTTCCTTCTTGTGGTACTTGAGTCACTTACTTGCTTTGCACTGTTGTGGCTGTACATTTGAGTCACAGCACAAGCTGACATTTGAAAATATCAACTGTGAGGTCTGAACTAACGACTGGGACCCTACCGGGCCATATGAGCAGTTAACCATTCTTTCAACTAAATAAAGCTCGTGGAGTTGATGATCTGTGATTGAGTGGAGAAGTTAGAAATTCAAAATCTTGCAAGTTGCGTGTTATCCAGGAAACTCATTAGTGTGGTTATACCAGTGGCAATTCCTGACAATTCACATTAAGCTAAACTATACATTATAATGAAAACAAAATTCACACTTTACATAGTGTAAGCCATTGACAGGTTTAAGCTGCTTGTTATCGCTATTATGTTATTTCATTTATGGTTATCTTTATGGATAATAATCAGAACTATTTAGAAATTAGGATTTTCCATCTTTAATAATTAATCAGATTCCTTAATTTCACTTAATATGGATGTTACTATGTTAATGAGGTTCAATACATTAATATTTGCCAGATATGCTTAGTGAATGCTGATTGTCATGCTGGATGTACATTAACAGCTATTGCCATTTTATGGCAAATAATCAGTATTCATACTTGTACATAAATTCACAAAAATTGCTGGACATGCAATCCATAGTAAAAAAGTAATTGGCTGTTAATGAATAAAGTTGGCATTAGGTATTGGGGAATTAATGATTTTTGAGAACAGTACATTAACAGAGTGCTGACAGACCTAATTACATATAAAGTAAGATGTAGATATATGGTTTTGTATCTGCAGATCAATATACTTCCCAAAAGAATACCAGATTCTCTAGGGAATTTTTATATAATGGGTTCAGTTTGACTGTTTGCCAATGGCTTTTGTCAACCAGCAATAACATTATGAATAGGTTTTAAACCACTTCTAAATGCTGACTAAGCCTGTATACATTTTGCTTTGCTTCTTAAATATCTGAAGTACTTTTTCTAAGTTTATTTCCTTCAAATTTTCAACAGTTTACCGCTTTACTATCTAAAAGTTTATTTTTGCATACCACACGCATGGTGTTTAGATGTGAATGCAAATGTGAAAAGAAATCACTTCTCAGATTTTGCAGGCAAGCTGAACTGATAGAGAAAGGGCTAATGATGCATGACTCTTGAATACCAGCAACACATTCTG